GCAACCTCTACCTCCTGGATTCAAGTGATTCTCCTGCCTCAGCCTTCCGAGCAGCTGGAATTACAGGCATACTCCACCATGCCTGGCTAACTCTTTTGTGTATTTTTAGTAGAGATGGGGTTTCGTCATTTTGGCCAGGCTGGTCTCAAATTTCTGACCTCAGGTAATCCACTCCCCTCGGCCTCCCAAAGTACTGGGATTACAGGAGTGATCCACTGCGCCTGTCCTAAAGCTTTATAAACTTAAGGGAGACCCTGTGGTGTTTATCTCATGTAAAGCATGCTCCTAAACAGGAATTGACTGTGTCTGGCTAACTGGGCTTGAGTGGACCCCTGCAGGGCCCGGGCAGGTGGAGGGAGTCTCATTCTGTGCTTGGGTCCTAACAGAATGTGCAAACAAAAGCTCTACAGAGCAACGAGAGCAGCAGGGAGGAGAAAAGGATCCTAAAACATGGAGAAAGATGGGTCAGAAGTGCACAGATTGTTAGCATCATTTCTTCCAAGATGCTAATGTAAGCCCTAACTATAAAAGGGCAGTGGCTTAGCTAGAATCTGGCCATTCTCCATACTTGTTCAGGACCCACAAGCTTGAGGTGTCATTAGCAGTTAAATTCCTTCAAGGAGTCAATGAGCCAAGGAGAAAGAATCAAGCAAAGACACAACACATGTTCCCTTCCCCCCCCCCAGCCCCGTTTCATGGCTAAATACATTGCAATGCTGAAAACAACATAAGCAAGGCTGAAGGCAGGGGCTTGAGTGTAAAACCAGGAGTCAACGGGCCACCAAGATAAGTATAAGGAGAATTATGGTCACAGCAGATGATGAGCAGGAGGGCTAGTCTATTTCTGGTGGGTGACTTTACCATCCCCCATGTGGTATGGTGACATTTGAGCAGGTCACCTGCAGTTCAAAGACTGAGCAGACACCACCCCACCCCAATCAGTCCTCCCTCCTTGTACTGGGAGGGCCTGGACCTTTGTGGTAGAAAGTCTTTATATAGACTCTGTCCATGCCTGAAGTAGAAGACAGGTGCCAGAGGCTCTTCCTTGGGCTCATACCTCCCCAAGTAGAACACTACACCTGGCCATGGTGTTCAATAGTCCGTTGATAAGGCCAGTTGCCAAGTTTCAGGGAGTTTGACAAGATCTTTGTAGGCCTGGCATAGCAAGAAGTGGCAAAAGGAAGGAAGGGGATCTTTGACAAGAGAAGGTCCTAGAGCTGATGATTTTGGTGACTAAGAGCCTCATGTCCCAAACTCCTGATCTCAGGTGATCCTCCTGCCTTGGCCTCCCAAAGTGACCAGCCTGGCCAACATGATGAAACCTCATCTCTACTAAAATACAAAATTAGCTGGTGGCGGGCACCTGTCATCCCAGCTACTCAGGAGGCTGAGGCAGGAGAATCGCTTGAACCCAGGAGGCAGAGGTTGCAGTGAGCTGAGATCGTGCCATTGCACATTGGGTAACAGAGCGAGACTCTGTCTCAAAAAAAAAAAAAAAAAAAAAAAAGAACTTCATGTCATTATCTCTGACAGTCACTTTAGGTTGGCTTACGCCATACACACTGCAATCCTCTTCTGCCTTCCTCTGCTATAGACAGGGGAGCTAAGAACTCTATTCACCAGCCTTCCCTGCAGGAAAGGGTGATGATTTGGAAACAATTCTGGCCAAGAAGATGTATAAAGAAATCGCCTAGGGAGAGGTGTTCTAGAAAATAGTTCCTTCCCTATTAAAAAAGGACAGAAGTAGCCGGGCGCGGTGGCTCACGCCTGTAATCCCAGCACTTTGGGAGGCTGAGGCGGGTGGATCACGAGGTCAAGAGATCGAGACCATCCTGGTCAACATGGTGAAACCCCGTCTCTACTAAAAATACAAAACATTAGCTGGGCATGGTGGCGCATGCCTGTAATCCCAGCTACTGAGGAGGCTGAGGCAGGAGAATTGCCTGAACCCAGGAGGCGGAGGTTGCGGTGAGCTGAGATCGCGCCATTGCACTCCAGCCTGGGTAACAAGAGTGAAACTCCGTCTCAAAAAAAAAAAAAAAAAGGACAGAAGTATCCATGTGGACCTTCATCCTATCCCACCTCTTCCTGCCTGGAATGTGGCCACAGCACCCGAGAATAAAGGAGATGTCTTTTGGACATGAAAACAAAAGGTACACATGAAACAATGGCAGAGCCCAGGTCCCTGGAAGCATTTGAAAGCAAGGCTCCACAGAGAGTGGAATCATGGTCACCAGGGACAGAGTAAGGAGCGGAAGATGGGGAGAGATAAGTCAATGGGTTCAGAGTTGTAATTAGAAGCCCTGCGTAGTGGCATGTACCTGAAGTCCCAGCTACTGAAGAGGCTGAAGGAGGAAGATTCCTTGAGCCCAGGAGTTTGAGGCCAGCCTGGGCAACATAGCAAGATACCATCTCAAAAAAATTTAAAATGGGCCAGGAGTGGTGGCTCATGCCTATAATCCTAGCACTTTGGGAGGCCAAGGCAGGCAGATTACCTGAGCTTAGACGTTCAAGACCAGCCTGGGCAACATGGTGAAACCCCATATCTACAAAAAATACAAAAATTAGCCAGGCATGGTGGCATGCACCTGAGGTCTGCTTGAGTTCAGAAGGTCAGGGCTGCAGTGAGCTGAGATTGCGTCATTGCACTCCAACCTGGGTGACACAGTGTCTCAAAAAACAAAAACAAAAACAAAATTAAAATTAATTTAAAACAAAGTTATAGTTAGATAAGAAGAATCAATTCTGGTGTTCTATTGCACAGAGAGTAAGGATGGTTAACAATAAGATATGGTATCTTACAAATTAGCTAGAAGGAAGGTTTTTAAAAGTCCTCACCACAGGTCAGGCATTGTGGCTCACGCCTGTAATCCTAGCACTTTGGGAGGCCGAGGCAGGCGGATCACGAGGTCAGAAGATGGAGCCCATCCTGGCCAACATGGTGAAACCCCATCTCTACTAAAAATACAGAAATTAGCTGGCCATGGTGGCAGGCGCCTGTACTCCCAGTTGCAGGAGAATCACTTGAAGCCAGAGGTGGAGGTTGCAGTGAGCTGAGATTGCGCCACTGCATTCCAGCCTGGTGACAGAGTGAGACTGTCTCAAAAAAAAAAAAAAAAACCCTCACCACAAAGAAATGGTAAGTGCATGACGGTCAGGCTAACTACACTGATTCAATCACTATACAACATATATATCTATTGAAACATACATTGTACTCCATATTCCATATATATGTACAATTACAATGTGTTAATTAAACAGATAAAAAGCATTGTTCCAGCCATTATCTGCATACTCTTAGACTTCTAACTATACAAGAAAAATAACCCCTGTTTGGTTTTCCTGTTATTTTTGGTCAAACACATTCCTAACCTACATGATTCTACAAGATTTGGCCTGAATAAGAGGAGCTCATACAATAGGAGAAGAGCAAAACTCCCTTTTCCTCCACCAGTGCATGGTGCTAATAGGGATACGCCCTATAGTATACTTTGGAATACCAGGATCCTAAAGTTTTTCTGGACTGAGTAGGAGAGTAGAAGATGAATTGTCGCAATACCAATTACACTTAAGGGATCACTGGACATCTTTCACATAGATGCCTGCCTGGTTCCATGCATGTTTCTTGAATAGACATGACACGTACCAGAAATTTACCAGAAATGTATCTCAGGAAATGAAGATACAGAGGCATAGAAGAGAGTTCAACACAGAGTTTGTGAGGCCACATCAGAGACCTCCAGAAGTTAGGTAACAGCAGGTAATTCATGCATTAGAATGAAAGAAAAACTTGGCCCCTATGGATGGCAAAATCATAAATGTTCAAGACCCTATCAATCATCCAAAACCCTTCTCAATAGGTTTTTGACTAGCTCTTCTTACTGAGTCTCAACGCTTTTCATGATTTTTCCTCTCTGGTCCTAGACTTTACTTGTGTACTTTGTGAATTATCTAGGCCAGTCCTATGATTGCTTTTATTGCACCTCTACCTAGGCTCCAAGCACACAAAGTAGGACTCTATGAAAGGAACCTGCATTTGGCTCTGTTAAGACATCAATGTAGGGAGTTACAGCAAAGACTCTTTCAACTTCTTGGACCAAATATACTCATAGTAATCAATCTATTCCTTTAAATCTGCTCCTTCTGCTTCTTCCATTACTTTTTTTTTTTTTTTTTTTGAGACAGAGTTTTGCGCTATTCCCCAGGTTGGAGTGCAGTGGCACATCTTGGCTCACTACAGCCTCTGCCTCCTGGGTTCAAGCAGTTCTCCCGCCACAGCCTCCCGAGTAGCTGGGACTACAGGTACATGCTACCATGCCTGGCTATTTTTTAAATTTTTTTTGTAGAATCGGGGTTTCGACATGTTGCCCCATCCCACTACTTTTCATATAAAAATGGTGATGTCATATTTGCTGTGAAAATGGTCTTATTTTGAATCAAGAACCTACCTCAGGTTATTACAAATTGATGTGATGTATTAACAAAATGACAAAATATTACCTCTCTTAAATTATGTAAGTAAAATGGAGACCTAGAGCATAAGACACTCCCTTCTCATTAAAATTTAGCATCATACATTTCATGCATTTTAAACTTGTGTGATCCTTTGCCTTTTATGGGCACCACTCTATTAAAGAATCAGAAATCAAGATTTCCTCCTGTTGTTGGTGGCCTCTGTTAAAAACTCTGCTAGAAATGTATCAATAAGAATAAAGATTCATGAAAAAAAATCTCTTAAAAACATCCCTTAATTGCATCAAAGCCGAGATACTGAAGAATGAAAAAATAATACTAACTTCATGTAACAAGAAACAAACAACTATGAGTGCTTTCAAGTCCAAGTTCAACTGGTTCATTTTGTAAAGGAGCATTTAAGTGTCATGGATAAATAATACATCTTTTAAGAATGTATTACATCTTTTTGAGAATGAATCTGGGACTTGATCCTGGAATTCTGGATTCCCTGTTCTGCATTTTAATTTATTTTTATTTATTCATTTTTTAGGGACACGTTCTTGCTCTGTTGCCCAGGCTGAAATGCAGTGGTGTGATCATAGCCCAGTGCCACCTTGAACTCCCGTGCTCAAGTGATCCTCATGCCTAAACCTCTCAGGTAGCTGAGATTATAGGTACATGCCACCTAGCTCAGCTAATTTTAAATTTTTTGTTGTAGAGATGGGGTCTTTCTATGTTTCCCAGGCTTGTTCAGCCATGAACCCCAGAATTGCAAAACTGCTGTTAAGTCAGCATTTGACTATGTCTGCTCTAGTAAATTTGCAATGAGATTTCCATTCCTTTTCTGCCACGTGGCCTCATCTGTTTAAATTACCTGGGTCAACTAAGAAGTATCTATGAAGTTTATCTTCAAAGGCAAATTTTTCCGTAGTGGCACTGGTAATGCCTAGCCTGCATAAGATTTTGGCGCTTGGAAGCTTCTTCTGTGTGGTAACCTGGGCCAAGGCATTCGAGTGATCAATGAGAATTTCATAAGGAAAAGTGTGCTTGGGAGGGGGGATCCCACACTGTGACAGCCTCTGCTGGGACCTGGAGAGCCTCTCCACTGGAGAGAGTGAGCCCTCCAGTAAGGTGCGGTGGAGCAGCTCAGTCATGGATGCTGGCTTCTTCTCTTTTTTAACCACTGTGCACCTGCTAACAGGTTGGAGATCTCTTCTCACATCAGTGCCCTTGGTCAATGACAGAACATTCAGGTTTTTAGCAAGTGCTTCCTGTGCTTCGTTAAGTGAAATACTATGTATTTTTAGAAGATTTGATTTCTTGCTCTCCTTATTAAAATGTTCAATACATGCATATAATTCTGGCAGCTGTGGACAAAAAAAAAAGGGGCAAGTCATGAGACTGACAAAAATGTAATATTTGGGCAGACCCACAAACCCTAGAAAAAATAACAAATAACCATAGGACAATGGATAACCATGAAAACAAAAGCATTTTTATCTTTGGAACATATCTTTGCCTAACTAAACCAAGTCAACTGTGGCAATGTGGAATAGAGAACAGAGAGGTCAAATCTCAGATTCATTCCCATAAAGATGTATTATCAGACACGTCTTATAAACACTTGTCATAAAATTGAGCAGTTAGAATTGAACTCAGAAGTCTTGAAGTCATCTTTCCGACTCTAAAATTCTATGAGTGACCATGCAGAGAAATAGCTGTGGGAGATGGTGGCCTTTGCTTGCTTTGAACAATGCTACACTTCTTTGAAGGAAGAAAGGGAACCAGATCACTTAGATATCAAAGCTTCTTCCTGGTGTTCCAAGAACCCAGAATGTTCAGGAATCCAGTGCTGAGGAGGCTGTAATAGTCATTGCTTACTAAAATGTTTGACCAGAGCAAATGGTTGCATTCATGGAGTGTCTGGGAATAGTCGTTGGCAGAAAAAACAGTAAGAGATCCCGGAGAGGACCTGTCCCCATCTGAAATCCTATACTGCCTACAAATCCCATCATTTCTAAGACGTTTCTTAGGCTATTACATTGGAAAACCAAAGAGGCCACAGTCTCAGGTTAGAACCAAAATTTAGGTTGTTTAGCCCAATACAGAGTTTTCTTTCAATCCTAGTCAATGTTACTGCAAAGGCAAGAAATAGAAAGTGAGGCCGGGTGCAGTGGCTCACACCTGTAATCTTAGCACTCTGGGAGGCCGAGGCAGGTGGATCACCTGAGGTCAGGAGTTCAAGACCAGACAGACCAACATGGTGAAACCCCGTCTTTTTTTTTTTTTTTAATTAAAAAAAAAAAAAGAAAGTGAGCTAACGTGTGAAAGCAGAAGGGATTCTGGATGTCTTCCAAAATGTTGAGAGCTTGTGGCTATAGAGGCTACTCATGGTCCAGACCCTGGAACCAGTATGAGTTCTGCTACAAGGTGGTGCAGGAATATATTAATGCATTCTCAGTTACGCCAACTTCAAGTAAGAGGTGACAAGGGCCCGTGGACCAGGAGGATTGCCTTTAATTTTTTATGATAGTCTGTTTTGTTAGTTTACCCCAAATTGTGTATCTATCTTGTAACTGTTTTAGGAATTGGTACATAAGTGGAGATTTTATGTGTAAATGTGTTAGCACTGATCATCTTTTTTCCAATGTTTTATTGGGGAGTTAAATAGTGTGATGTTTGGACTGATATCATGAAATCCTCAACCTGGAAATTGGGCTCGATTATTCTTTGGTTAACGCACCTTTTCCTAAAGAAAAAAAAAAAAAAGAAAGAAAGTACGCTAACAGTGGTGAATGGTGCTTTAAAACCAATTATATAACCAAACTATCATGAAAACAGTTCAGCACTTCTGCTCATCTGCCCTGGGAAGAGCTACATTTGTCTGTGACTAAGAATGTTAAGTCACTAAAAGTGACATTTTGGTGTTTCCTATGGCTCCCCAAGTATGTCATTGTGAGTTCAATATTTTGAATGTTTATGATTCTTGAATGTAAAGCTCCCTGTGTACACCCCATCATACAATGTTAAGCACATACCGAACATTGAAGAAGGGCAGCCCCTCTGCCGTCCTCAGCTGGACTGGAGTCTCTGTTGAGGAACATCATGCTGAGATTTTATTCTCTAATTCCTAAAAATGCAATATAAGAAAAGACAAAAACCAAAGATCAAAACCAGATAAAATACAAAAGAGAAGGTGATACTTCTTAAATCTTCAGAAATTTGTGAGTGGGACATTTTGAATATTTTATACCTATATTAGTCCATTCTTGAATTGCTATAAATAACTATCTGAAACTGGGTAATTTGTAAGAATATAGGTTTCATCGGCTCATGGTCCTTCAGGCTGTCCAGGAAGCATGACTGGGGAGGCCTCAGGAAACGTACAATTATTGGGGGAAGGCAAAGGAGAAGTAGGCACGTCTTATATGGCCAGGACAGGAGAAAGAGTGAAGTGGGCGGTGCCACACACTTTTAAACAACCAGGTCTCATGAGAACTCACAATCATGAGAACAGCAAGGGGGAAATTCTCCATGATCCAATCACTTCCCAGGCCCCATCTCCAACACGGGATAACAATTCGAAGTGAGATTTGGATGGGGACACAAATCCAACGCATATCAATACAATTTAAATTTTTCATTTGCTTTTTCCTAGTTTAGGTCTGCCAAATTTGTCACATTTCAACTGCACATTTCTCTGAAATATCCAAATTCTTCTACAACATGTGTATTTAGTTTTAATGCTAGTTTAATGAATCCTATATGGATGGTTGTATTTTTTATTATATATATATATATTTTTGAGATGGAGTTTTGCTCTTGTTGCCCAGGCTGGAGTGCAATGGCACGATCTCAGCTCACCACAACCTCCGCCTCCTGGGTTCTAGAGATTCTCCTGCCTCAGCCTCCCAAGTAGCTGGGATTACAGACATGTGCCACCATGCCCGGCTAATTTTGTGTTTTTAACAGAGATGGGGTTTCACCGTGTTGGCCAGGCTGGTCTCAAACTCCTGATCTCAAGTGATCTACCCGCCTCGGCCTCCCAAAGTGCTGGGATTACAGACATGAGCCACCACGCCCAGCCAGATGGTTTTATTTTTTTGTCTTAGATATTCTGATTAACTTTCAATTCATGTAAAGAAAAACTCACCCACCTCCTTATCCACAAAACATATTTTTTATTCAGAAGGAAAAGGCTCATATGTAATAATAAAAACAATAAACATTTTGAAAATAACTTGCTTTGTGCCAGATACACTATAAGGCATTTTACAGGTGGAATTGTGTTTAATTACTCTGTGAGAGATTTAAAATGGCCACAGAATAGTCACAATTCATCTCATTGATAAGTGGCAGTTAAGTTCTCTCCCACATTTGACTGTGCTGACCTATGCTTGGCTTTGACCAATAGCTGGCCTATGCTTGGCATTTTGTCAGTGACACAGTGTGAATGCTGGAATACGGGCCTTAGAAGCTTTGCAGCTTTCCTATACATTCTTGGGAGCCTGAGCCACCATGTAAAGAGAACTGGCTGCACATCTGGAGAGACCACGCAGACTCAGACGCCAGCACCAACCAATAGACATGTAGAGGAAGCCATCGTGGTTCACCCCGGGCCCCAGATAAGCCTCCAGATGACTACAGCAGCATAAGCAACCTCAGCAGATCCCAAATGGAGAAGAACCACCTCTCAGCTGAGCAAGGCAACTCTAAAATTTTGACGAATAGTAAATTACTGTTGTTTCAAGCCACTAAGCTTTGGGTGAATTGTTATATAGCAATAAATACAGATAAAGTCCATAATACTTCACATTCTTGGTTTAATTTATTCCAGTGAAACCCTTATTGGTAGGTAAGGGAATGTATGGAGGGAAAATATGTTTCTAAGTACAGGGTACCACTGTATCCTGACCGGCAGCTGTGGTCACTGGGATGAGTGCCTGAGATGAACCAAAAGCACTCACTTGGTAGTTGGGATGAACTGAAAACAACTATGTTTCTCCTTCCTGAGCAAAGTAGAAAAATCCAGAATGGACCCCCACACACACATACGTGGAGATATACATGCACACACACACACACACACACACATATTCTCCAAACATATATCTATATATTCTCCAAATACATTTTTGTCACTATTTGTCATTACTGAGATCACTATATTGATATGCAGGACTAAAGTGGTACAGTGTAGCATGCCTGCCACAGACCTTTTTATCCCTAGGCAGTTAAAATAAGACTTGATTGTGCTTTCCTTCTGCAAAGGAAAGAAATGTTTCCTGCAAAGGAAAATGTTTCTCTAGCGTGCTTTATCTAAAATCTCTCAATGCCTTCTAGTCAACTACTAGTATTGCCTTTCAGACAACTTCAGAGGGCAGGAAGCCTGCCCTCTCCCATCACCAAGGGTTAATATATATTCTCCCTTCCCTCAGAGGAGGGAAAGATTTAACCTCTCTCCACTCTCCCCTCCTTTCTCTCTTTCCTTGCCACCTCCCAATTTTAATCAGCAGTGCCAATTCAAGTAGACAATATCCAACCTCAATGGCCAATCTTGCAACTCTCTATACAGAGAGTCAAAGCAATAGCTAAGAATTATGTCCTCATTTTATTAGTAGTATTGATGACAGGGAATGGAGCACAAAGAAGTTTAGATTCTTGCTAATCTTACTCTTTGCTAAACTACCTTTGGGCGCATCTCCCTCTCACTGAAGTGTCAGGATTCTGAATGCTGAAACAGATCACTAGCCAAAAATGCTTTTATACATTTAAATGCTGACTCCACTAGCAAACTTTTAACGTCAGTCTTTTTGTTTGATCCAAGTCAATACCTAAATCTAGATTAGCCCTTTGATCCAATCCCTCATGGAGAGTGTTCCTGGAGAAGTCATGGAAATATGGCCAACGGGCTTGTTTACAGATTCCTGCAAGTAAAGTGGAGCTCTTGCAGGGGCTCTGTGGCACATCTCTTCATTGTTATTCCCAGAAATTCCCAGAGCAAATTTGCATTTTACTGTGAAGAGCAAGGACATCTCACAGGAACTCCCAAGGGTGGTATCCTCTTCTCCACTTGCACTCCCAACTTTTCACCCTTTCCTCCAAAGGAGAAGAAAAAAGTTCTCTCTGCTCGACTAATGTTAATTTTCTCTCTCTCTCCTACCTAGCGTGATATATTTTATCCTCCTCATAATTCTTTTTTTGGGGGGGGGCGGGGACAGAGTCTTCCTCTGTCACCTAGGCTGGAGTGCAGTGGCACGATCTCGGCTCACTGCAACCTCTGCTTCCTGGGTTCAAGCCATTCTCCTGCCTCAGCCTCCCAAGTAGCTGGGACTACAGGCATGTGCCACCACACCCGGCTAATTTTGTATAAAATACAAAATTAGGGGGCCCAGCCAGCGCTTGCGCGGTGGCGCGGGCGAGTGGTGGGGGCGAGGAGGCGGAGGAGGCGGAGGAGGAGGAGGAGGCTGCGGCGGCAGCGGCGGCGGTGAGAAGATGGCGATTTCGAACAATCCGCGGAAATTCATCGAGAAGATCGCGCTGCACAATCAGAAGCAGGCGGAGGAGACAGCGGCCTTCGAGGAGGTCATGAAGGACCTGAGCCTGACGCGGGCCGCGCGGCTCCAGCTCCAGAAATCCCAGTACCTGCAACTGGGCCCGAGCCGCGACCAGTACTACGGCGGGTCCTTGCTCAATGTGAACCAGATTGGGAGTGGCATCATGCACCTGCCCTTCCAGACCCCCTTCCAATCCTCGGGTCTGGACACCGGCCGGACCACCCGACACCACGGGCTGGTGGACAGGGTGTACCGGGAGCGTGGCCGGCTCGGCTCCCCGCACAGCCGGCCCCTGTCAGTGGACAAACACGGACGGCAGGCCGACAGCTGCCCCTACGGCACGGTGTACCTCCGGCCACCCGCGGACACCAGCTGGAGAAGGACCAATTCTGACTCCGCACTGCACCAGAGCACAATGACGCCCACACAGCCAGAATCCTTTACCAGTGGGTCCCAGGACGTGAACCAGAAAAAAGTCTTACTGTTAACAGTCCCAGGAATGGAAGAGACCACATCAGAGGCAGACAAAAACCTTTCCAAGCAAGAGTGGGACACCAAGAAGACGGGGTCCAGGCCCAAGTCCTGTGAGGTCCCCAGAATCAACATCTTCCCATCTGCCGACCAGGAAAACACTACAGCCCTGATCCAGGCTACCCACAACACTGGGGGCTCCCTGCCCGACCTGACCAACATCCACTTCCCCTCCCCGCTCCCGATCCCGCTGGACCCCGAGGAGCCCACCTTCCCCGCGCTGAGCAGCTCCAGCAGCACCGGCAACCTCGCGGCCAACCTGACGCACCTGGGCATCGGCGGCGCCGGCCAGGGAATGAGCACACCTGGGTCCTCTCCGCAGCACCACCCAGCCGGCGTCAGCCCCTTGTCCCTGAGCACAGAGGCGAGGCGTCAGCAAACATCGCCCACCCTGTCCCCGCTGTCACCCATCACTCAGGCCGTGGCCATGGATGCCCTGTCTCTGGAGCAGCAGCTGCTCTACGCCTTCTTCACCCAGGCGGGCTCCCAGCAGCCGCCGCCGCAGCCCCAGCCCCCGCCGCCCCCTCCGCCAGCGTCACAGCAGCCGCCGCCCCCACCACCCCCGCAGGCGTCCGTCCGCCTGCCCCCCGGCGGCCCCCTGTTGCCCAGCGCCAGCCTGGCTCGTGGGCCACAGCCACCCCCCATCGCGGTCACGGTACCGTTCTCTCTCCCCCAGCGCCCCCCAGAGAACCCCGGCCAGCCGTCGATGGGGATCGACACCGCGTCGGCGCCGGCTCTGCAGCAGTACCGCACGCACGCCTGCTCCCCGGCCAACCAGTCTCCCACCTCGCCAGCCTCCAATCAAGGCTTCTCCCCGGGGAGCTCCCCGCAACACACTTCCACCCTGGGCAGCGCGTTTGGGGACGCGTACTATGAGCAGCTGATGGCGGCCAGGCAGGCCAACGCTCCGTCCCACCAGCTGGAGCGGTTCAGCACGATGGAGAACGCCATCAGCTCCAGCAGCCTGTACGGCCCCGGCTCCACGCTCAACGACTCGCAGGCGGCCATGATGGGCCTCACGGGCAGCCACGGGAGCCTGCCGGACTCGCGGCAGCTGCGCTACGCCGGCCACAGCGGTGTCCCCAACATCATCCTCACGGTGACAGGAGAGTCCCCCCCCAGCCTCTCTAAAGAACTGACCAGCTCTCTGGCCGGGGTCGGCGACGTCAGCTTCGACTCCGACAGCCAGTTTCCCCTGGATGAACTCAAGATCGACCCCCTGACCCTCGACGGCCTGCACATGCTCTACGACCCCGACATGGTTCTGGCCGACCCGGCCACCGAGGACGCCTTCCGGATGGACCGTCTGTGAGCGGGCACGCCCGGCGTCCTGCGGTTCAGCCGTCCTGACGGCGCCCCCCCCAGCCCGGGGCCGACCGCGCTCCGTCCCTCGCCCCAACTGCTGAGTTTGTGATTCTGAGCTTGCAACGCCCCCCGCCGGCCCGCCCCCGGTTTTCCACCTCCCGCGAAGCCCAATCACGAGGCCGCGAGCTGGGCCTTCCACCCGCGCGCCGGGGGCAGGGCTGGGATAGGAGGTCATGAGCCCCCCGCCCCCGCAGACCCTCCCTGCATGGGCTCTCTTGCCCCCAGCCCCGGGGCCTGAGCTGTCGTCCCCTGTAAGATGCGGGAAGTGTCGGCTCCTGGCGTGGCGGGCAGGCTCAGGGGAGGGGCGCGCATGGTCCACCAGCGCTGTGGGCAGCGATGCATTTTCCGACTGTTTGCCCAGCTCTCACTGCCTTCCTCGGTTCCCGGTCCCCCAACCCATCCGCCACCCCCAGCCCGTGGTCAGATGAGAGTGAGCCCCACATGCCGCCCCAGGGAGGAGGCGCCAGAGCACTGGGCAGACACAAAGTGTAATAAACACTATTTTAACGGGAAAAAAATGTTTTAATTTAATTGTCAAGATTATTCCAGGGCAGTTCATTTCCAATCATATCTCTCCAGTTCTTGCTCCTAAGTGGCACAAGCCAAGATGATCATTTCAGTTTATTCTCAAATTTGCGCTGGATCTTTCATGCACTCCCCAATTTGGCCAATACAGAGGGAGGCGATTCTGCTGCATTCACAGCAGCAAATCGTCGTTTAAGTCCAACAAACTAGTCAATCTTGGTCGGCTGGCACCGAATGAACCCATCTCGCTCTGGGTCCCCAGGTGCAGAATCGACGTGTGATCTTAACTAACTCACAGACCGCTTCTTCGCTCCAGTGTTCAGTTCCTCCAGGCTTCAGCCGAGAGGATGTCTGCAGTCATAAGGACTCGGATGCAGTGGTGCTTGAGTTTGCAAGGCAGGGCTCCTTTGTTCAGCTGGTAGAAGTCGACCGGCTGGATCAGGTCAGAGAATTTGGTGTTCGCGTCATCTAGGCTGAAGAACATCTGCCCGTCGTCCTCTCAAGGTAAGATCGGGAAATTTTTAATTTTCTGGTGATGACACAGTGTGAGTACAAATGCCTTTGGATTACTCTGGCTGTCACGGAGGAGAAAAAACCCGTCCACGAGCCCTTGCTGTTTAATGATCCTGTGGGATTCCTCCCTGGAGATCCTCCCGTGAAACCAGTGCTGTGTCCTGTGAATCACTGTACTTAGGGTAGAAGGGTGGAGGGGACTTTGGCTACCTAGAATGTTCAGCCATGTGCTTCGCTTCTGCCAGGCGTGGCCTGCTTCTGGGTCTGCACTCTGGGCCTCCGCCGGATTCTCTATCACGCCTCCTGTTGGCCCAGAAAAATCCATCGCCACGAGGGAGATCTCGGAGACACTGCGCACTGGCGTTGAGAATGGGGACAGCAAGGCCTTCCTCTGCTGAGGGATTCGGTAGTTCTGGTAAAGGAGCATTCCATACTTGAGGAGTCTGAACGCCGTCATCCAGCATGCCCTGCTTTGCTCATCCTCTGCACAGAGCAACCTCAGCTCTTTAGTTTCATTCCTGACTTTGGCTTTATGCAGAGCCCGTGGTCTGTGGGGGCGCTGTACTGCTTCCTGCCAGCGGTCAAGGAGAAGATGTTGCGGTCCTCCAGGTCTGCCAGCAGCTGCAGGTGTCTGGGTTCTTTGAAGTTCCCTTTGTGAAGCAATAAAGGCCAGATCTCCATAAACATACATATAGCTTTTTCCATGATTTCTTTCCCAGCTCTTTCACATGCAAAAATCCTTGACTTTCAGGACAGCTACTGGAGTTCAGAAAATTCTGCAAAAGCTGGCTTTGACTGCCATTTGACTGCTGGCACCAAGTAACCGTCTGTTCTGGGAAGAAATTCATTGGATTTTTAAAGAACCGTATTTGCATAATTTTTCCTGAATAGAAATTTACTCTCACTGGCCATGGTACTCTCCACCTGGACCACCAGCTCATGGTCTTCCAAACACCTCTCCAATCCTAGGTGCGGGTGGTGCTCCACTAGTGTCCAGCTGTTGTCATCCACATAGTGACTTTTGTAAACCAGCAACTGGCACAGGTCCCTGGCTGTCATGTCTGCTAGAATCTCCACCACTTGGCTCATCCCATCTTCACTAAAGACTTTAACATCCTGCTTTGCGGCAGCCTGGCTCAGAGGCAAAGAAGCCCTCGTGAGCACAGGGGGGCTCCCAGGACCACAGAGTTTGGGAAAAGGATAGGGGATGGCCAGTAGGGACGAGGTTCTAAGCTGCTGCTCTTCCTCCTGAAGGTGCCTGACAGCGAGGATGTATACAGGCTGGGAGCACTGCACCCTCTGCCTCGGGGATGCCTGAGGCTGGACAGACCGAGTACCTGAGGCCCGAGGCTGGCTGCGGGCATGCTGACCATTCTGCAGGAGGGGCACCGTGTCCAGCTGCATGCTCTCCAGGGATGCGTTCATATCGTTCACCAGGGCTTCCAGGTCCACATCATCCTCCTGGTGATTCACGAGTTGGTCACGTGAGCCCTGGTCCTGCCGGGTCTTGTTGACTGCAAGGTGTCTGCTCCAGTTTGTCCTGGTAGTATGGATGGTACAAAAAGGAATCTGGGCAGCTGGCTAAAGCCATGGGTTCCTTCTGCCTTCTTCAAATTACATTTACTGCACTGGAGCACCTGTCAGGAGATGGCTCAGTAGCTTTGTCTGCTGGGGTGGCCACCCTGGCTTCACTGAGAGGACCCAGGTGAAGACCTGGCTGCCAGTCACTGGGCTGATGGTCACTGAGCCGCCAGTCACTGGGCCTGCGGCTGCTGCTTCCTGCTCAGCATCGTCGTCAGCGCCAAAGATGGGGTTTCACCATGTTGGCCAGGCTGGTCTCAAACTCCTGACTTCAAGTGATCCACCCGCCTTGGCCTCCCAGAGTGCTGGGATTACAGGCATGAGCCACTGCACCCAGACCCTCCTCATAACTCTTGTGGAATATTTCCCCTCAGTTGTCCTCCCTTCCCTTCAAACAACTCTTTTCTTCCTTCTTGCTTCTCTACCATTCTCTTATCTGCAGTCTAATGTTCCCCAATGACTCCTTCCTTTCTTTGCAAATACGTAAAATGTTTTTCACTTGGGGTAACAATACACCTTACCTTCTCTTGACCGTGATCCTACCACTAACTCTGGACCCTTGTCTCTTCTTTACCTCTGAACTTGCTACATTTATATTTTCATCATGTATTCTTCAGTATAATGACATTTATCTTCCACCTGGCTGATGAAATAAAATTGAATTCTTACAAACAATAGCAACTTCTTAATTATCAATTCTAGTGTAGTTTTTACAAGCCTCACTTTTCTTTTTTTTCTTTTTTGAGATGGAGTCACACTCTGTTGCCCAGGCTGGAGGGCAGTGGAGACGTCTCAGCTCACTGCACCCTCTGCCTCCTGGGCTCAAGCAATTCTCCTGCCTCAGCCTCCTTAGTTGCTGGAATTACAGGCATGTGCTACCACGTCTGGCTAATTTTTATATTTTTAGTAGAGATGGGATTTCGCCATGTTGGCCAGGCTGGTCTCAAACTCCTGATCTCAGGTGATCTACCTGCCTCAGCCTCCCACAGTGCTGGGATTACAGATGTGACTCACTTCGCTGGGCCAATTTATAAATTTCTTGACCAGACTTACAAAGACTATCCACAATCTTCCCCCAACACTTGTCTATCATTTAAAAATATCATATTTCAGTGCTACCACAATGCCATAAATGTTTTCTATACTTTAGCCAGCTGGGCTTGTTTCTGAAACAATTTTCTGTGCTTCTATGCATTCTTTCTTTGAGCCTATGCTCACTCTGATACCCCATTTAGTCAGACAGAATGTCCTTCCTTCTGTTTTATGACAATCTAAATAAAAACATAATAGAACTGAAGCTGAAATGGAGAGAAACACAATGTTGAACAGCTATTGTGTCATATAAAAGGAATTAACAGGAAATGAAATAAAGGTTAAAAATTATTTAGAGAGAACCCAATTATGGTGAATTGATTTTCTGACAAAGCTGCCAAAACAATTCAATGGAGGAAAATAGTATTTTCAATAAATGGTGCTGGGACAATTAAATAACTACACATAGAAGAATGAAGTTAGACCCTATCTCAATCCTTACACAAAATGAACTTAAAAGAGTTGAAACTATAAAACTCCTAGAGTAAAATATAGGGGTAAATTTTTGTGACCCTGGGTTAGACAATGGTTTCTTGGCTATAACACCAAAGCATAAACTACAGAAGAAAGGAGTAAATAAGTTAGACTTCATCACAATTAAAAACTTTTGTGCTTTAGTAAAAATAGTGAAAACACCAATCACAGAATCAGAGAAAATGTTTACAAATCATACATCTGGCAAGGAACTTGTATACAAATGTAAAAAAACACTTAGAAATCAACAATTAAGGCTGGGCACGATGGCTTACGCCTGTAATCCCAGCACTTTGGGAGGATGAGGTGGGTGGATCATGAGATCAGGAGTTCAAGATCATCCTGACCAATATGGTGAAACCCCATCTCTACTAAAGATACCAAAAAATTAGCCAGGCATGGTAATGGGTGCCTGCAATTCTAGCTACTTGGGAGGCTGAGGCAGGAGAATCGCTTGAACCGAGGAGGCGGAGATTGCAGTGAGCTGAGATTGCGCCATTGCACTCCAGCTGGGCAACCTGGCAAGACTCTGTCTCCAAAAAAAAAAAAGAAAAGAAATCAACAATTAAAAGACAACCCAATTTAAATATGGGCAAAGGGACTTCTAGTGTGGTTTCTCCTCTGACATGCAAGGAGCTTGGAATGCACCGGAAACCCTTCTTAGATCTGGCAGAGAAGTAAGGTCACAGGGCAAATTCCTGCCCTAAAATTGCAGAGACAGACAGGCAAATACAGGGAATCGCAGCTTACTGAAGTAGAAAGCTCCCTGAGAACAGGGCAGAAACCTCCAGAAGAGCAAGAAGAAACCTAGAGAAATCATGTTTGGCTTTCAACAAAAAATTATAAAGCAAAACACAGACTTTGAAGAGACAGAGCAAGCATCAGAACTAGATTCAGATATGGCAGGGATGCTGGAATTACAAGACTGTGAATTTAAAACAGCCATAATGAATGTGCTAAGGGCTCTCATAGGAAATGTAGACAGCATGCAAGAACAGACAGGTGATGTAAGTGGGAGATGGGAATTCGAAGAAAGAATCAAAAAGAAATGCTAAAGGTCAAAAACACCATCACAGAAATGCAGAATGCCATTGATGGACTCATTAGTAGACTGGCTATGGCTGAGGACAGAATGTCTGAGCTTGAGGATTTCTCAACAGAACCTTCCAAATCCGAAAAGCAAAGAGAAAAAAACACTGGAAAAAAAAATGGTAACAGAATATCCAAGAACTCTGGGACAATTACAAAAGGTATAACATATGCATAATGAGAATGCCAGGAGGAGAAAGAAATAGAAGCAACATTTGAAGCAATAATGATTTAAAAGTCCCCCAAATTAATGTTGTACACCAAACCACAGATCCAAGAAGCTCAGAGAACATAAGACAGGTTAAATGCCTTTAAAAAAATAAAACAAAAAAGTTAACATTGGTATATCATATTCATACTGCAGAAAACTGAAGATAAAAAATCTTGAAAGAAGCCACAGGAAGATTAGAAGTAATTCTTCTTTGCTATAAATAGAAAGATAAGAATTACCTCTTCCTTCTTCTCAAAAAGCATGCAAAGAATCAGAGAATGGAATGAAATAAAGTGTTGAGAGGAAAAAACCCACCAACCTAGAATTCTGTATTCTGTGAAATTATCCTTCAAAAGTAAAAGAGAGGGCTGAGTGTGGTGACTCACGTCTGTAATCCCAGCACTTTGGGAGGCTGAGGCCCGTGGATCACGAGGTCAGGAGTTCAAAACCAGCCTGGCCAACATGGTGAAATCCCATCGCTACTAAAAATACAAAACATTAGCCAGTGTAGTGGCACGTGCCTGTAATCCTAGCTACCCAGGACACGGAGGCAGGAGAATAGCTTGAACCCAGGAGGTGGAGGTTGCAGTGAGCCAAGATTGCACAATTGCACTTCAGCCTGGGTGACAGGGTGAGACTCCATCTCAAAAAAAAAAAAAAAAAAAAAAGTAAAAGAGAGATAATTTCTCATTCAAACAAACATTGAGGGAATGTGTTGCCAGTAGACCTGCCTGGAGAAATGTTAAAGAAGTTCTTCAGAGAGAAGGAAAATTATGTAGGTAAGAAACTCGGATCTACATAACGAAGTGAAAAGTATTAGAGAAGGAGTAAATGAAGATTAAAATAAAAATGTTTATTTTTCTTATTCTTTTTTTTCTCTCCCTCCCCTCCTATTTTTCTTATTCTTGATTGATCAAACAGATAACAGTTTGTTCAAAACAATAATAGCAGGCCGGGCGCGGTGGCTCATGCCTGTAATCCCAGCACTTTGGGAGGCCGAGGCGGGTGGATCACTTGAACCTAGGAGTGTGAGGCCAGCCTGCTCAACATTGGGAGACCCCATCTCTAAATAAAAAACAAAACAAAACAAAATATAATAGCAAAAATGCATTCAAACCATTACAGCTTATTATAAAATGAAACAAATGACAACAATGATACAAAGAACAAGAGGGAATAATTAGGAGTATCTTGTTATTATAAGGTACTCACATTGCCTGCAAGGTGTTATAGTGTAATTTGAAAGTGGACTCGAGTTAGTCATAAACATATATTGCAAACTCCAGGGAAACCACTAAAAAAGTAAAAAAGAGATATAATTAACATGCTAAGAAAGGAGAAAAAAATGAATCGTATAAAATGCTCAATTAAAATTACAAAAGGCAGAAAATGTGGAAGACAAAAATAGGAACAAGGAGCAAGGGCAACAAATAAAAAATAGTAAAACGTTTGGTAAATATGAATACAAACACATCACAATGACTTTTAATGTCAATGGTCTAAATATGCTAATTAGAAATAGAGAGTATCAGAGTATCAGAGTGGACCAAAAAGAAGATCCACCTAATTATATGTTGTCTAAAGAAACACACTTTGTTATTTACTTTTTTTTAATGAGATGGGGTCTCATTACGCTGCCCAGGCTAGTTTCAAACTCCTTAGGCTTAAGCAATCCTGCGTTAGCCTCCCAAATAGGTGGGACTACAGGTGTGTGCCACTGTCCCTGGCCAGAAACACACTTCAGTATAAGAACTCTTATAGATCAAAAGTAAAGAGATAGAGAAAGAGATATTATCCTCATTAAAAGAATACAGGTATAGCTATATTAATTTTAGACAGAGCAGACTTCAGAGCAAGAATGTTTATCAGGGATAAGGAGGGGCTTTACACAATGATAAAGGGGTCAATATATAACAATTTGTAACATGAATGCATCTAACAACAAAGTGTCAAAACATGTGAAGCAAGCCAGGTGTGGTAGCTGTAATTCCAGCACTTTGGGAGGCTGAGGCAGAGGGATCACCTGAGGTCAGGCGTTCAAGATGAGCCTGGCCAACATGTCGAAACCCAATCTCTACTAAAAACACACAAAAAAATTAGCTGGATGTGGTGGTGGGTGCCTGTGGTTAGTCCCAGCTATTCGGGAGATTAAGGTAGGAGAATTGCTGGAACCTCAGAGGCAGAGGTTGCAGTGAGCAGAGATCACACCACTGCACTCCAGCCTGGGCGACAGAGAGAGACTCCATCTCAAAAAATAAACAAACAAACAAAAAACCCAAAACAAACCATGTGAAGCAAAAACTGATAGAGCCACAAGGAGCAATAGATGGATCTTTACCACCCTTCTACTGAAAACGGACAGATCCAGCAGGCAGACTGTCAGTAAGGACATAGTTGAACTCAACAGCACCATCAATCAACTGGATATAATTGACATCTATAGAATATTACTCCATCCAGCAATGGCAGATTACACATTCTTCTAAGATCAAGTTCATATGGGACATTCACCAAGATAGACCAGACTCTGGGCCAGGAAACACACATGAATTAATTTAAAAGAATAGAAAAACAGGCCGGGCACGGTGGCTCAAGCCTGTAATCCCAGCACTTTGGGAGGCCGAGGCGGGTGGATCACAAGGTCAAGAGATCAAGACCATCCTGGTCAACACGGTGAAACCCCGTCTCTACTAAAAATACAAAAAATTAGCTGGGCATGGTGGCGCGTGCCTGTAATCCCAGCTACTCAGGAGGCCGAGGCAGGAGAATTGCCTGAACCCGGGAGGCGGAGGTTGCGGTGAGCCGAGATCGCGCCATTGCACTCCAGTCTGGGTAACAAGAGCGAAACTCCGTCCCCCCTCCAAAAAAAAAGAAAAACATACAATGTCTGTTCTCATACTACAGTGGAGTTAAACTAGATACCATAGCAGAAAGCTGGAAAATTTCAAAATACCTGGAATATGATCTTGTTTTGTTTAAAATATATCTATAGTGAAGGCTTATATATTCATTTTAAAATATGGAAAGACATACGCAAAGAATGGGACTACACAAACAGTAGTCCCTAAGAGATTGGGTTACAGTGGAACTTTTCCTTTCCTTGTATCTTTAAATTTTTCTTTCATGAATTATTATAGTAAGTAAAGAAGTAATTCCAAGTTGAGTGAGAGAGAGTAGCATAAGAAATGGCAGAGATGTGTGCTAAAATAGATCTCCAGAGATGTAAAAAAAAGTATTATGTATAATAGAAAAAAATAAAAAACAATGTTCAATGATGAGCTCATAATTGAACAAATCTGGGGAAATTACAAAATTGTACAGAAATGTTTAATGACTTTTGTTTTTTTTTTTGGGACAGAGTCTCACTATGTCACCCAGGCTGGAGTGCAGTGGCACAATCTTGGCTCACTGCAGCCTCCACCTCCCGGGTTCAAGCAATTCTCCTGCCTCAACCTCCTGAGTAGCTGGGATTACAGGCGTGTGCCACCACGCCCAGCTAATTTTTAGTAAAGATGGGATTTCATCATGTTGGTCAGGCTGGTCTCGAACTCCTGACCTCGTGATCCACCCGCCTTGGCCTCCCAAAGTGTTGGGATTACAGACGTAAGCCACCACGCCCATCCAGGAAATTTTAAAAATAATATTTATACTAAACAAAAGGAGATTATAAGAAGGTATCTATAATACAATTCTTTTTTTAAAAAAAAAACATATATATGTTTCACTTAAAAATGTTAACAGTTCCATCTAGCGGTAAGATTATAAGAAATCTGTGTTCTCTTTCTTATAATTCTTTGCACATTTATGTATTTTACAATGAAGATTTATTACTTTTGCAATTAAAAAAACATTTTAAATCAGAAGAAAAAAAAAGAAATGGATGAAGGCAGCTATCTGTAGAAATTACACATCAAGGGAGATTGCTTATAATGTTTCACTGAGGAGTCATAGTTTAGGAGAGTCCAAATAAGGTGGCTTATTGCACTTCCTGAAGGACCCTGGGTGGCTGGACCAGAACTCAGCGGCAAACCAAACCCTTCCAGCCTGCCTGGGACTGGAGGGGGTACTGGGAAGTGAGTGCAAATGGGCACCATGTTTCTTTTAGTGATGACCGATAAGTTCTCAAGTTAGATTGTGGTGTTGGTTGAACAACTCTGTGAATTCACTAAAAATCACTGAATTGTATGCTAAAAAGAGTGAGTTTTATCTTATGTAAATTATGCCTAAACAAAGCCGTTTTTTAAAGGAAACAAACATCTAGTCAGTTACACTGTGATCTGCTTGAAGGAAAACTATGTTAACAGAAGGGCCTACCTGGTACTCGTAAAAGGGAATCTGGGCTGTTAGAATTTTCCAGGATGCACCCAGCACCATTCAGGGTAAGAGACCCCTGACGGTGAGGCAGTTCAGTGCCCTGAGCATTATGCATCTTATATGTAATGAAGGCACCAGTGCACACAAATTGAACAATACTGCCCATTACTAAGAGCTATGAATACTAATGGATAGTCTGTTAGCATTTACTATATGCCTTTATAAGCATATGGTCCTAAGAACTTAAATGTATTATCCCATTTGATCCACTCAACAACAACTTTCTGACATATGTACAATTATAATCCCTATTTTACATTTGAAGAAATTGAAACACAGACAAGGTAATGCCCCTTCCCTAGCATAACAGAGCTAGTAAGTATCGAATCTGAGATGGAACCAGCTAGTTTGACATCAGAACCCATAGTTTTGTGCATTATGCTATAGTGCATAAATATGATCTTGTCACACATACATTTTTCAGTGCAATTTAATTTTTTCCTTCCTTCCTTCCTTCCTTCTTTCCTTCTTCTCTTTCTTTCTTTCTCTCTCTCTGTTTTTTTTGTTTTGTTTTGTTTTGTTTTGTGTGACAGTCTTGCTTTGTCGCCTAGGTTAGAGTGCAATGGCATGAACTTGGCTCACTGTAACCTCTGCCTCCCGGGTTCAAGTGATTTTCCCACCTCAGCCTCCCAGGTAGCTGGGACTACAGGTGCTCACCACCACACCTGGCTAATGTTTATATTTTTAATAGAGACAGAGTTTCACCACATTGGCCAGGCTGCTCTTGAACTCCTGACCTCAAGTGATCCACCTGCCTCAGCCTCCCAAAGTGCTAGGATTACAGGCATGAGCCACTGCACCAGCCCCAATTTGCTTTTCTTTTGTGCCCTACCTCTTCTCCTCTGTCTTCTCTTACTAACCCTTTCATCAGGTAAGTCACATATTAAGCTTATTTTTCCTATGCTTATACAGACAGCTCCCTCTTTGCTTTTCTTACTAATGATGGAAAGTCCACCAACTCACCGAGTATACCTCTGTCCATCATGAGTGCTGCCTTATATTGTTTCGACAAGAACACATTCTGATTTCCACTTCAGCCATGTAATTTAGCACACCCTAGGCCCTTCTGCCTGGGCACGAGAAACAGATGCCAGGAGAGAACTGGGGCTGTGTGTTCCAGGTCCTGCCCAGAGCTGGCCTGGCTGGGAGACACCTATCCTCTTCTGTCCAGGTGGGGGATCCTCATCTATTTCAGGGGACCAAGAATGGCTTTGGTTGTGGGAGGGAGACTGTTATCAAACTGAACTTGGGTCTGTCTGCTGAGCACAGCAAAGCCAAACACTGAATCATGATTGCAGAGAGAGAAACTGAAGCATGTATTACAGGATGCCAAGCAAGGAGACTTGGGCAATTCTCATGCTTAAGAACCAAACTCTCTGATGTCTTACATATACGAGTTTTTATAGGAAAAGTCATTCATTTCTTTTCTTTTTCTTTTTTCTTTTTTTTTCCGAGATGGAGTCTCGCTCTGTCACCCAGGCTGGAGAGCAGCAGCAAGATCTCAGCTCATGCAACCTCCACCTTCTGGGTTCAAGCAATTCTCCTGCCTCAGGCTCCCAAGTAGCTGGGATTACAGGTGCCCACCACCATGCCTGGCTAAATTTTCTATTTTTACTAGAGATGGGGCTTCACCATGTTGGTCAGGCTGGTCTTGAACTACTGGCCTCTAGGGATCCACCCTCCTCAGCCTCCCATAGTGCTGGGATTACAGGCATGAGCCACCACGCTCGGCCTCTTGTGGAGTTTACAGGCTAGCAAGGGGGAAGTGACAGAATATCGTACATATAATAAGTGAATTTGTAAGTCTGAAAGCCCTTAAGTGCAATGAAGGTTATCAAAGAGATCAGCGTGGAGGGGATTGGGAGTGTGGTGATGGAGGGTTACAACTTTAAATAGGGTGGTTGGGTTGACCTTACTGGGGAGGTAACATTTGAGCCAAAGCCTATAGAGGTGACAGTGAGCCCTGAGAAAAACGGGGAAGAACCTTCCAGGCAGAAGGACCAGCCAGGGCAAACGCCATGTGCTGGAGGAGGAGCAGGTTGCAAGAGAAACCGGAGAGAGGAAGAGAGGAGGGGAAAGGAAGCGAGTCCTGTCTTCTTAGGGCCTTGCAGAGAGGGAAGGAAGGAGCCATTACAGGCTCCGAGAAAGACAGGCTCTGGCTTACATTCTTTCTTTTTTCTGCTGCCACAAGACTCTCTGTACAGCAGGCTGAGCTGAGTAGTTGGCACAGCTTTGTTTTGTTTTTCTAACTTACATTTATTCTTTTTTTTTTTTTTTTTGAACGGAGTTTCGCTTTCGTTACCCAGGCTGGAGTGCAATGGCGTGATCTTGGCTCACCGCAGCCTCCGCCTCCTGGGTTCAGGCAATTCTCCTGCCTCAGCCTCCTGAGTAGCTGGGATTACAGGCACGCGCCACCATGCCCAGCTGATTTTTTGTATTTTTAGTAGAGACGGGGTTTCACCATGTTGACCAGGATGGTCTCGATCTCTTGACCTCGTGATCCACCCGCCTCGGCCTCCCAAAGTGCTGGGATTACAGGCTTGAGCCACCGCGCCCGGCCCACTTACATTTATTCTTAAAGGAGCACTCTGGCTGCGGTGTACAGCTTATGATTTATCAATTAGAAACTTATTAATTAAAAATGTCAAATATGTACTAAGAGTAATTATATAGTACACCTTATAAAAAATGAAGCCAAGCTGGGTACAGTGGCTCATGCTGGTGGCCGAGGTGGGTGGATCACAAGGTCTGGAGTTCAAGACCAGCTTGGCCAACATGGTGAAACCCCATCTCTACTATAAGTACAAAAATCAGCTGGGCATGGTGGTGCGCGCCTGTAATATCAGCTACCCGGGAGGCTGAGGCAGAAGAATTGCTTGAACCAGGACCTGGGAGGCAGAGGTTGCAGTGAGCCAAGATCAGGCCACTGTATTCCAGCCTGGGCTACAGAGCGAGACTATGTCTCAAAAAAAAAGGCAAATATGTATTTTATGTACAAGAGAAAATGTTTGTCTATCAAGTGAGAATCTATACATTGTTGTGAATTCACAGAGCATCCTCTGGAAGGACGCACATCACTTTTTGTTTTAGATGGAGTCTTGCTCTGTCATCCAGGCTGGAGTGCCTAGACACAATCTCAGCTCACAGCAACCTCCATCTCCCATGTTCAAGCGATTCTCCTGCCTCAGTCTCCCGAGTAACAGGGATTACAGGTATGCGACACCACACCCAGCTAATTTTTGTATTTTTAGTAGAAATGGGGTTTCATCATGTTGGTCATGTTGGTCTCGAACTCCTGACCTCAGGTGATCCACCCACCCCGGCCTCCCAAAGTGTTGGGATTACAGGCGTGAACCACTGCGCCTGGCCACAGGCCACATCTTAATAGAAGGGAGTGAGTGGGAAGGCACGAAAGGGGGGCCTTTCAAAGTTTCAAAGTAGGACTGATAGAAATAAAAATATTTTACCCCCAAAATATCCTTCTTTGATATATTTTGAGGTGTCTCTTCAGAGAGCCAGCCAACAGGAGTAGCCCTGCAAAGCTGTCTTTCATGGGGAGTTTTGCATCTGTACGGAATCTGCCTTGATGCAGCCAGGCTTCTTCTGAGCCCTCCTTTGTTTGATCTAGGAAAGATTAAGTGAGAGTTTGATACCTTTGAAGGTTGGAAACATTTATCATCTATTCTTTCTGCAGGCTGCTATCTGTGAGGTTTCATCTACATAGCAAGACCACGTTTGCTAGCCAGGCCTCCCCTTCTCTCCCCACCATAACCTGTCTTGCGTCATAGCCTGATTTACCACTATAACCTGTTTTGGGCTCCCATTCTTTTGGTAACCTCAAGGTGGTATATAAGCTTCTGTACCCCACTGGGTGTTTGGAGTAATCACTCTGTGGTTCTTTCCTATGTGCACATAAATTCATATGCCTTTTCTCCAATTAATCTGTCTTTTGTAAGTTATTTTTTTAGCAAACCTTTAGGGGGCAAAAAGGACATTTTCTCTTGGATCCTACAGGGGTATTGTTTTCTGAGTCCTAACAATCTCATCTGGCCAGGTCTTATAACTGTGCTCAGGGATCTGGGGGAAGGAGAACTTGGATTTAATCAAACACATTTTTCAGATGTTCATTGTGGCGCTTCTCACTTTCACTTTTTGGCTGCTTGTGCAAGATCATCACACCTGCAGATGTGCTTGACCCATGGAGTCCTGGTTGCCATTCTACATCATTCTGGAATTATGAGCATTATGTGTGTTCACAGATTATCCTGATGTGTGGAATATCCGCTACTCTCTCCATCATTATTTTAGGATTCAATGAATACTTCTGAGCCACTAAGTCAATCTAATAACCCATGGCAATGATAAAGATTGTAGACTTACTAAACAGAAATAAACAAATGTTGTGAAAAATATATTAACCAGAATGAACTGAATACTGTTAACTGAATGTTATTTAAGAACATTTCATTAATATCGTGTTTGTGGAAAATGCTCAACATTTAAATATGCAAGGACTATTAAGAATAAAATGAGATTTCTGGGAAATCATTACTATGTTACATTTTCAATTTATGAAGTGTGACTACAACTGTTTCATTTGGGAAAGGAAAGTAGCTCAGAGCAGTCTGAAGAATGTGAGGAATGCAAAATTTAGCAGAGAGACAGGAGAGTCTCATTAACCTATGCACAGGGTTAATTGTTTAAAGGCATTTTGTATTTTTCTTTTATTGCCTGTAGTTTCCAGACTAGCTGATAAATTACCTAAAATGTTACAGGCTGCACAATATGACCCTCACCCATATCTTCATGTTTCTGGCATTTGTGATACAAAGAATACATAGCCAATCAATAGCTTATGTTATTTTGAGTGAGTCACTGTGGCATGCACCTGTAATTGCAGCTACACTGATCACTTGAGTACAGGAGTTCAAGATCAGGCTGGGCAACACAGGGAGGCTTTGTCTCAAAAAGAAGAAGAAAAAAGAAGCTTATGGTATTTTAATGAACCAATATAAATACTTGGTAAACAATTTTACCAAGAACTGCTCCATCTTTTTTCCCTTTGAAAACCCACTATTCTGGGCAACTTGAATCGAAATCCCCAGGGTTGCAGTCCTCAAATTTGGCTCACATAAGCTCTCTACTTAACATTCATTTTGCCTCAGCTTCTTCCTTTAGGCCAACGCATTGCTTTTTCCTCTGAAACCCTAAAGCACTTGTGGCTCACTGCAGCGATTGCTGGGTTCCATGCTTTGGGAGTGCTGGTCTAAGTGAGAAGACTCCTTGGGGAGATGAGAGCCCATAGGGACCTGAAGATTCCCCTTCAGATCAGCAGGCCTTTTAAACTCCTCCCTCCTGGCTTATAATCAGTTGGAGGTTCTGTTAAGCCAAATGAGACAACATCTGCCTCTTTTTCTTTGTTCTTTTTCTTTTTTTATTTTGTGAGATGGAGTTTCACTCTCGTTGCCCAGGTTGGAGTGCAATGGTGCGATCTTGGCTCACCACAACCTCCGCCTCCTGGGTTCAAGTGATTCTCCTGCCTCAGCCTCCTGAGTAGGTGGGATTACAGGCATGTGCCACCATGCCTGGCTAATTTTTGTATTTTTAGTAGAGATGGGGTTTCTCTATGTTGGTCAGGCTGGTCTCAAACTCCTGATCTCAGGTGATTCACCCGCCTTGGCCTCCCAAAATGCTGGGATTACAGGCACGAGCCACCGCGCCTGGCCCTGCCCCTTTTTCAGTTTCGGCTGTCACTTTTCATCTAGAATTCATTAGCTCCTGCCTGATCTCTCCCCAAAATGCCTAATAGGTTTTCCTGCTTGATTTCCTTGACTCCTTCCCCTTGAGTCTGGCTGTCTGTCTTTCCAGGGGAGACGCTTGTCTGGCAAGGCAACCAGAACAGAGTCGCCACTCAATAATTTTAGGCCTTCTACTCTAGTTGTCGGAGGGTGAATTGACAACACTGATTGACAGGAAATGCAATTTGCTACTACTGATATAACAATCAGAACTGAAAATACGACAGTCAGACTTAGCTCCTCAGAGAGAGGGGAAAAGGCTGTGGTCTTGGCCAGGAACGGATTAGCTGAGTGGATTTATATATCAACACAATGGATGACAAAGGTGACACTGTCCTGTTACGATGGCCTCAGGGAATGAGGGGTGTGGGCAGCTCAAACAACCCAGCTGTTGCTGCCAGGGAGAGGGAGAGAGCTCATCAACCTTGAGCAGATATTAGATGCAGAGGCCAGATTGCTTTCTCCTGTGGGTTTTATAGCTGTGCATACTCAACTATTCAGGACAACCTTTATTATTAAAATTTTTTAGGAAAAATTAACTTTGTCATACAGGAGGAAACTCTCAATCCCTCCTTTGAAATAATTACTTTGAGAGAGCTTGTTTGGAGGTTCTAGCAGAGGAGTACAGCTACTCAAATACCCTTGACGAAAGAACAGCCCTCCTCTGATGGGGAAGGTCGTCCGCAGCATCTGGAGGGGCGCACATGGAGCGATGAGGGAGGATGGGGACACCCACCTAACCAGCCCGATCAGACACATCAACCCTAGCGATCAGTGGGGTGGCAGATGTTGCAGCCAGATCACCCTCCCCTCCTGAAACAATTGCTTTTAAAATGCAATATTTGAAAACCTGAATTTTCTTGGGTAAGCAACTATCCTATTATATTGCTAATTTAACAAAAGACTTCTTTTAAAAATAATTAATAGAATTAATTTCTTAGAGCAATTTTAGAATTGGTTAGAAAGTACAGTGTTCCCACACGCACCTTCCCTGCACCATACACACAGCTTCCCTTTTATTTACTACTTATGTTTGTGTGGTACATTTGTTACAATTGATGAGCCGGTATCAACACATGGTTACTAACTAAAGCCCAGACTTGACAGTTTACATTAGGGTTCATTCCTGGTGCTGTGCATTCTATGAGATTTCACAATGTGGTAATTAAATATATCCCCTTTTTTTTTTTTTTTTTTTCCCAGATGGAGTCTCACCCTGTTGCCCAGGCTGGAGTGCAGTGGTACAATCTCAGCTCACTGCAACCTCTGCCTCCTGGGTTCAAGCGATTCTCCTGCCTCAGCCTCCTGAGTAGCTGGAATTACAGGCACCCACAATCATGCCCAGCTACTTTCTTCTATCTTTAGTAGAGATGTGGGTTCACCAAGTTGGCTAGGCTGGTCTCAAACTCCTGACCTTATGATTCGCCCTCCTTGGCCTCCCAAAGTGCTGGGATTACAGGCATGAACCACCGCGCCCAACCCATATATCCACTTTTTTTTTTTTTTTTTTTTTTTTAATACGCCTATGGCACCTGGAATTCCCAGGCGGTCTCCCACCCAAGTACTAACCAGGCCCGACCCTGCTTGGCTTCAGAGATCAGACGAGATTGGGCGTGTTCAGGGTGGTATGGCCGTAGACATATCCACTTTTATAGTATCATACAGAGCAGTGTCTTTTTCCCCCCCGTTTGAGATAGGTTCTCACTCTGTCACCCTGGCTGGAGTACAGTGGTGTGAACACAGGTCACTGTAGCCTCAACCTCCTGGGATCAGGTGATCCTCCCACATCAGCCTCCAAGGTGGCAGAGGAAAAAGAAAGGACACTGGGTGTGAGGGAGGGATGCAAAGTCAGGACCAAGCGTCCATGGGAACACAGGAGAGGATGAAGGCACAGAGGCTGGGAAGAGAGGGCAAGGCTGTCATTGCTGAAGACCGGAAGGGATGAGGGTGTCTGCAGGCTCAGCGTGATCACCTGGGTTCCAGCTTCTGTGACCTGCCTGGAAGATGAAACAGCCTCCCTACTCTCATTGGTTAAGATAAACCCAAACCCCATCTCACCTCTCAGCTCTGGTCTTCCCATCTCCCTCGCCACTGCCCACCTCACTCCATCTCTCCTTGCCAAGCCTAGACTAGCTTAGCTTTCACTGCTTTGAGGTCTCACATTGCCCTGTGGCTATGGCTGTAGCTGCACTTACCGCGTGTTTTACAGTTGTCTCTTCACGTGGTCATATCTGTCTTGAGTCTCTGCACTCTCAGGGCAGAGGCTGAGTCTCATTCATCTGGCGGCCCCAAGGCACAGTGCCGCTCCTAGCATGTGTCATTGCTTAGTGTTGAGTAGGTGACTGTCCATTGTGACAGGGATAACCTCAAGGTCACATAAACAGCTAAGGGGTGGGGAATTATCTTGCTGCTTGGTGGGCGATGGGAGAATAATGGGTGGGAAGATGGCAGATGATGGAAAGGCATTTTTAAAAAGAGTAAACATTGAATAGCTGAATTTTGAATATGATTTCTTTTTTCCCTTCTGCCTCAGCCTGTAGCTGGGACCCCAGGCATGTGCCACAATGCCTGGCTAATTTCTGTATTTTTCTGTAGAGATGGGGTTTCACCATGATGCCCAGGCTGGCGTGAATATAATTTCTAATCAGTCAGGTTTTTCCTTCTATAGACATAGGCAAAGTGCAAATAAGAAATTGAGGGAGATAATAGGAAGTAGAGCTATGCTCTCTGCACCTGCCCAGATGTGGGGAGAAGTGGACCAGGGGCTGCCTGGCCATGCAAATTCTCTCCATGAGCTGTGCAGCTGTGCTCCAGACTCTGTCCCCACCCCTGGGAGGTCCTTGCAGCAATCACTGAAAATTTTGCTCAGCCATTTCCCCACAATGCAATCTACTGGGTATTTGAATAGTCTGATTAACTGAGATAACGACTTGTGAACACTGTGGCAACATAAGCACAACATGAAACCTACCATGCTAACCCTTTTAGGTATACAGTTCTGTGGCATTCAGTACATTCACAATGTACTTCACCGCCTTCCATCTCCAGAACTTTATCTTTTCCAACTGAAACTCTGTGTCCAGGAAATTAATTTCTCACCCCATCTCCAGTCAATGGACACCTGGGTTGTTCCTACCTTTTGGCTACTGTGAATAATGCTGTTATAAACATGGATGTACAAAAAAGTTATCAATTTTAAGCAGAATTTAATAAATACAGATGATTCTTCCAATAAGAAAATATTTCAAAAGCCTGTCATCCAAAGGTGGCCTGCAGAACAACAGCACTGGCTTCACTTGGGCCTTTGCTGCAAATGCAGAATCTCAGGCTCTGCCCTGGACCTCTGTTACAGAATCTGCTTTTTTTTTTTTTCCCAGAGTTTTGCTCTGTCTCCCAGGCTGGTTTTTCATTTATAGAATCACTAGTTAGTGGAAGTAAAAGCAGTGTAGTGGCTCACTGTAACCTCTGCCTCTCAGGTTCAAGAGATTCTCCTGCCTCAGCTTCCTGAGTAGCTGAGATTACAGGAACCCACACCATGCCTGGCTAATTTTTGTGTATTTTTAGTAGAGACAGGGTTTTGCCGTGTTGGCCAGGCTCGTCTCGGACTTCTGACTTCAAGTGATCCACCCACCTTGGCCTCTCACAGTGCTGGGATTGCAGGTGTGAACTACCTACCATGCCCAGGCCCCAGGTGACTCATTTGCACCTTAAAGTTTGAGGACTGCTTCAAAATACAGAATCCATGGAGAACGAAAAATCAGTATTTTTCATTTTTTTTGAGACAGAGTCTCGCCCTGTCACCCAGGCTGCAGTATAGTGGTACAATCTTGGCTCACTGCAACCTCCACCTCCTGGGCTCAAGTGATCCTCCCACCTCAGTCTCCCAAGTAACTGGGACTATAGGCATTTATCACCACATCCAACTAATTTTTGTATTTTTTTGTAGAGACAGGGTTTTGCCATGTTGGCCAGGCTGGCCTTGAACTCCTGGGCTCAGGTGATCTGCCCACCTTGGCCTCCCAAAGTGCTGGGATTACAGGCATGTGCCAACACATCTGGCCCAATAAATGGGTACTTTATAATGAAAAATTTGGGAATCACTAGTTAGTGGGAGTAAAAGCAGTGATTCATCAAAAGCCTTCCCTGAATACTTTGTACAGGAGCGAGGGAGAAAGCACATTCACAGTGACTTCACCACATGGCTCCGTATTTTAAGAGGCTGAGGCTAGGGTACACCTCCCTCTCTCCTTCCTTTCTTGTCTGATGAGACCCACCCAGGCCCTGGAGACTTGAGTTCCTACTGGGGAACGAGCTTTTCAAAACAGCTCCTCAATTAAGGCATGTTTGTCTATAATCAGCCACTAAGAGAACGAAATTTCTCTGTGTTTTAATTTATGGCTCTTTTTGAAGAAGTTACTGTGGTCATTTACTTGAAGGAAATACAGCAAATTTCCCCCAGATTTGAATATGGGACAACAAATCTTTAATTGTGTGGAAACTCTTCCTCTAAACTCCTGCTTTGATAACCCACTAGCATATTATCCTTTTGGCACAAGAAAATGTCTAAAACGGACGAGAACCACAAAGTATGAAATGTCTACTCTTAGCAGATGCCATTTATGTGTAGTTAGCTAATCCCATTCCCCCAAATTCTGAGACTGTTCTACAGGATACATGGCCACAAA